TTCTGTTTTTGTTTCAGGTGGAGAAACAGTTTCGAGCTCATCTGGAAAATTTTACACACATGTCAAGCAGGTTGATGGCTAACAACAGTGGAACATATAAACTGGGTCAATGAAACTATTCAGACCCGTTATTATTCACCATGTCTTCCTCAGTTTGCTGCCTTAGGTTGGCCAACGACTGATTGTGTTTTTGTGTTCATCTTTTTGTTCATTAAAGGTTTGTTTGTCAGTATTACTCCTGGTGTGTTCATCTCTACATTTCTTAAACCACTCCTACTCTCTTTTTCTCATGAATTGGTGTGACTACAGCTCAAAAACTTTAAATGCTACAAATAATACAATGTGTAAGAAACTTGAGTTCCTCGGAGAGTGGAAGAAAACCCATGTAAACTCTACACAGAAGAACTGGAATCAAACCAGCAAATTGTTGATCTTGCTGTAAGGAAAGATGTACCAACTACTTCCACCTTGTGGTCATGACTTCTCTTCTAGGGTTGAAAACGGCTTCAATCACAGAAAGACATTCTTAAAGAAATGCCTTGTGGCGCATCATGATGTCACTGGACTAGTCCAGCTGTCAATAAGACATATATCGGCTTTGATGGAGTCATGACAACTGAGAAGTGACTCACCTGTTCTTTTGAATTGCATTCAGGGCTAACTACTAGTCCCAAAAACTACAACTGGTAGACCTCAAGACATTTGTGGGGCTACAGGCACGCCAGGGTAAGGTAAAAGTCTGGGTCATACTGAGTATGTACTGTATACCTACTATATACATCGGCCAGGAAAGACTGGTGTTTGAACACAGACCTCGGCTCCTGCTGCAAAATCAAAACAGTGTTGGTTATTCATTCTCAGAACATCAACGACCAAACATCCAATTGGCACCATGCTGCATTTTATTGCTGAATTTCTGATACAGACTTTTTTTGTTAATACAAAACCAGACCAGAGGCTCACATCTAATAGGCATGCTCACGTCCTCTGACTAGAGTGCATAGATTCTACACAGTCCAACCTCAGTGGAAAAGTTGTTCGACAAAGTGATGTTATTACAGAGTCCCCCAGTCCCCCCCCCCCCCCTCACTATGAATAACACTTGAGCAGTGTTGCTCAGCAGCACTATGGCAGAAACTTCTCTCTGTCACTCCTTTGGTGCTGATTGGTTTGTTAAAGAACCACAGGATTTCTGTAGTGTTAAACAACTGGCCCAGAACTTCTGAACCCTTAATACCCTTTTATACCCATTCACATTACAAAGTTGGATTATTGCATGCAATACAAATCATTCATAATTATGTTAAGTCATGCATATTTTCAAAACCATACATATTCATGTCGCTAGTTACCTACTTGTTTATAAATTGCGATTATAAATGCCCACAAAGCGTTTTAATTTAAAATACTGGATTTAAGAAGAAATGATGACGATGGTCCTGGTGAAATTCAAAAAAATAGAGAGGAAGTGCCTTTGAAACTGGGTTACTTACAGCTACAGTTATCTGGGGTCTACATTTGTAGAGGGTCTACATTTCTACAGGAACGGTTGAGTTTTACGCATGTAAAACGCTACAGGTGAAATTTAAAGCATCTCTCCTATCTGTTGGTTTAGAGTTTTTATTTTTATTTTTTTGTTATTTGGCGCTGAAAAAATACCACAGCAGGAAAATAGCTTTGTTTTTGTTAAATATCTGTTAATGATATTTTGTTATGCTACAATTGTCCTTGCATTTACTTAGTCTTACAGGACGTTGTTAAACCTCCACTGGTGATCTAGTTTTCTTAAGACAAAAAAAAAACAACAAAACAAAACAAAAACAAGCGAAAGCTACATTAGTATAACACATAAAAGACAAGATGTTTCTCTAAATGATGGAACAAATTCCTCTTAACTTTTACTCCAGGGCACTACACTCATGCATTTTTAGGTTATTGCTTCTAAAACTCTAATCGAATACAATTTTATGGATCAAATGGACCCGGAGAATCCTAAAACTATGAGGTATTATGTACACTATGACGCAAGAAAAACAGGGATGGGTACCAGACAGTTTCCAGCTCAAACCAACACCTCAGGGTTGTAGTGTAGGATGAATTGAGACTTACAGAAACAGCAGCACATCACAAAACACACACTGGTACTTGTTTCTCTACAGGCTGGACTACGGGTGTGTTCACATGTTTGGTTTCTGTTGGTTTGACCAAAGTAGGGACTGATGAACTGAGTCTGTTTTGATGGTGTAAAGTTTTGGTCACCTACACATTCACACTGGCACCAAATGCATTGATATGGAATTATTAACAAAACAATCCCGGCTGATGTTTTTTTTCTCAAACTATGGCGCATGTAACACCTGGGCCCCCTTGTGGTACGCTGGGGGATTTGATTCCTTGATGTGAGTCACCTAGTTGTTAAATACAGCTGTTTTTCTGTATATTCTTGCTTGCTCTTTGTGTATTTGTGTCTGTTTGGTTTCCAATTGAAATAAAGTGCCATACTTCAGCATACTTCGTTGTATATCACTCCATTGTATGTATATATATATTTATATATATATATATATGGTGGAGAACCACATATATATATGGACTGTGTTTGGGGTTGTTGTTCTTTTTTCAGGTGAAGTTCTCTGATCTGCTCATGAGATCAGAGGTAGTCGTCTTAGCCAAACCAAACATGACAAGTGTGAACACACCCTGAAATGTACCAACACTTGCTGTCAATCAGGTCCTGGTTCTTTTTTTTGAGACAAAAACTTACATGCAGCACAAACTTTCATGACAACATAGACCTATACTTATTATCTTCTTACGTAAATTATGTCATAGGTATTTTTAAATTGTAGGACACAACTAAGACATGGAACGAAGAAATAGTTTTTTGCATTAGTTTAAAGTTTCAGGGCAAAGTTGTATCTGGATGTTTAGTCGTTAAAGAGTTCCTACCGCGGCTGAATTTCCTCGTGACTGGGCTGAAAGACTTCAACCTCTGAGCTCCAGCTTAGTAAAAGTTGATTTGACTAATTGTTCATAAAGCAAGCATCACTACAGGTCATGCAGGGCTACAATAATGTTGGCACCACAGTCCGACTAAATAAGCTAATGCACATGAGTCTATACATATCTTAATGGAAGACATTGGTGATTTTGTTGCTTTCAAACAACTCGTCACTTGTTTATACAATATACAGTTTGGTCAACAACATGACGGTTAGGATCAAATATTGCACAAATCCCGGAAAAAGTGATGTATCTATATATGGTATTATGACTGGAAAAAAACATTTAAAAAGACAACATTTTTATTTTAAATCTAAAACGTAGAGACAAAGGACTAAGTGGACTAATGTCAAGGACAGTTTTCTCTGGTTTTAGGGGAGAGGTCTCAAACTAGTGGCCCATTGGTTAAATGTAAGTCCACAATCCAAAAATGTTCAACAAATGAGTAACGGCAGTGATGCCTTTGCTGTCCTAGGTGAAAGCTGGATTGCACTTCTGTGTCAAGACTAGACATCTGACCAACAAAGTCTAGGTTTTTCACAAGTCTACCGTACCTATCTTTAATCCTGTGTTTCTTTTTGCGACTCTAGAAACAGGACAAAGGAGCGTTCCATCATCACGCTGTGCTCTCTCAAGTTGTACATCAAGACAAAGTACAGCCTGGGAGAACACTTCTGTTGAACTTATCAACATATTAACATGTAGTCAATTTAAAGTCACATTTCCTCACACTAAGCATTGTAACGCTGTATTAGTCACATTAAAATGCGTAGTGAAGTGGCAGTAATAAAATACATCCTTCTCTTTTCTTCACCGTTTCCCAGAATACCATTGCTCCAGGAAATGAAAATGAGACGAATACAGAAAATTCCGGCAACACTATTTGAGATCTCTGGTTAAAAAAATGAAAGAAATGCAGTGGAAACCCTAGATACGAGCTTCCTGAAATATGAGTCTCGCTCACTGTCCATCACTGGATTATTTTACCCATTTATATAACAATAATATAAATGTTTTCTTAGTGATTATTACTTTATATTATTAATGTATTTGTTTATATCTATCTTTTTGATGTTTAGATGGGGAGTTCATTTAATTAATTAATAGTATATTTCTGGGGCGATGGAATTATTTAATTGGTTTAAAATATTCTTAATGGGGGAAATTCAATCTAGATACAAATGGATCGAGACCTGAGTGCTGGATTAGAACGGATTAAACTCGTATCTAGGGGGTCCACTGTATTTTATAGCTGACAGAATGAAAACATTTCTCCTAATTTAATTACTTATAATGCAAATACTACGGAACCAATGAGAGAACATGTGAAGAGGAGAAGGGTAAAGACAGACTGTGGAAAAAGGAGGAGATATTCTGCTTAAAGAAGATAAGGATTAGATAATAACACACGAGAGAAGAAAACCTGGTTAGGCTTTTGTAGGTGTACTTGGTGTAACTGTGTACATATATTGGCCAATTCCGTTGTATCTCCAGGCTAATGTGTGTAAAGGAGCAACTGGAAATTCTGTCTATACTTGAATTCTACAAAAAGGCTTTGACCTTAAACATGTCCAGACTCAAAAACTAAACTTAACGTTGTGACAGATGTATACGGACCACAGTTGTTTTTCTCATGGTCCCCCATTATATCTCACAAAAGTTGTGTTTCTACAGCAGGAACTAGTTCCAGTTCTTTAAAACAACTACAACTTGGAGAGTACAAATTAATTTGAAGCTTGCGAATGCAGACTTTCAATTTTAAAAATTTTGGCTGGACAACAGACCAACTTGGAAATCTTTACGCAAAAAACTTTTCTTCTGGGTGTCCCATTAATGTTGAGTGTCCAATAACATTACTGCCCCTGGGTCAGAGGTGACCGTTCCACAATTTGCAGCAAACCTAAGGTCAATGGTACAATGCAGTGGAAACACAACTTTTTTTCTGATCCTCTCACACTGAAACACAACTTTTTTTCTGATCCTCTCGCACTTTTACCGAATATACAGTTCTGAAACCACTGTGCTGCTAAATCACTGAACACACTCTCATCTGTTGGAATAGATATGGCACTGAGGTAGTGCAAAAGACAAAAAAGAAACCCATGAAAGACATCCATCACAGGCCTTGATCTTTGCTACAGTATTTTGTGTCATTGCATTTGCAGAACTAGATGCAGCTGAGAATAGTTCTCATTTAACTGCTTTAATATAGGTTCAGTGAAAGTAAACTTTTGTTAAGAATAGCTCAAACTAAATCTCCAACTCATGAAAGCTTCCAGACAAATGTCAGAATTTCATGTTTGTCACCTGGCTACAGGCTACATGTATACATATGGGGAGTGTGCGTGATGGAAGTCGAACCAAATCTTCAGAGACGACTCTGCTGCAGATACAGGTCACAAAACAAGAGGTTTGACGTGGAAGAGACCGGTATCCCAGCAACGACAGGAAGGAGTGCACCAGTGTCCCCAACCTACTAAAGAGGTCATCCCGTTAACGAGAGTTCCTTCTTTACCTCCACAGTTGTGGGATGGGAAGTGGGCGATCTGTCGATGATGCTGAAGCTGAATCACAGGAAGATGATCCTCCAGCGTGGGCCTCATGTCTTTTCATGATTGCTGAAAACCCAGAATTTATATATATATTAATGCATGCTTTTCCAATCTTCTTTCTGCTGTTCTCTTCACACAGCTGATCATCTGCCTCCATCTAACTCCGATCTACATCTCCAAACTCCTCCACCTTAACTGTTCCTCTGATCTGCTCCTTGCTGATGCCGTCTATCCTGGTCACTGCCAGTGAAAATGTCAGCTGGAGCCACTGCCTCTAAACCATACATCATAGCAGGTCTCACTACTGTTTTATAAATCTTCCCTTTCAACTTTTCTGCTATTCTGTCATGGCACAGGACTTCATTCCTGACCACAGAACAGCAAATCCATTAGTTCCAGAAATGCTGCTAAGAACCTTAAGATGTCCTCAAAAATGCCACCATGACAGGACAACAAACACGGGGTGTTTTTGAGAATTGGGTTTTAGTGAACTACATTTGATTTAAATATTTAAAAGTAAATATAACGGACAAAGGAAGGGTATAGCTAATGTATACATATAAATATATAAACACTACAGACTATACATATTTAAAACTGCACCTTAGTTCCTCCTGCATTTAACTTGTGTTTGTAAACACTTAGCAATTACATATTAGTCCTGATAGTACTATTTAATTGTACACATAAGTGCGGAATCTACGTTTAAGCTGTTAAAACATGACAGTTTCCTTAAATAGCAACGACAAAAAACAAAACTGTCAAGGAGACAGATTTCTGTAGTTCTTCGGACATACAGTCAGTCTTATACGGCCCCAAACAGCACAAATAATACGTCATGAACCATCTAGTCAGTAGAACTATGCTGAAAACAGGAAGAAGAAAAAAAAACCCACAAAAAATAAAGTTCTAGTGAAGTTCCAGATGAAGAGGGGGAGGGACTGACCTTGCAGTTCGTCTGGAATGCTGCAGAGATGTTCGGCGGTGGTTGGAGCTCCAGCTCCTGGTAAACAAAAGCCTGGGGAGAAGGTCGAGGCAGCGGAGTCTGGCTCCACATTTGTGCGTCCATCTTAATCAAAGTGAACAGAAACCGGGTTTATTCTGTAAGTGGCTCCACTTACAGAGACGAATTTGGCTGACTGAATGCTGCGGGCCCCCTCCTCTCTCCTCCTTCCAGCGGGAGAGAGGAGAAGCAGATCTCCTCGTCCCCTCCGCCCTACGCCATTTTTACTCTGCTACTATGAAGCAACGCTGCAGTTGGATTGAGCAGTGGAGCTGTCAATCAAAACCGAAGACCGCCCCGGAAGTGTTGGTTCTTCACCTCAAGATGACTAGCAGGTGCTAACTCGAATTAATATTTATAAAAACAATTGGAAAGCATTAAAACACGTAATACTTACAAGATATTTAATTTAAAAATTCTATATTTTGCTATACGTCTATTTCTATTACCGTTTATTTCCGAAGACCACCTTTTTTTAAACTCTCAAATGGTCAGGAAAAATGTAATTACAATAGTCAATTATTAGGAGCGACGGAATTTAAGTTTTTTTTCAAACATCCGTCCATTTTAGCCTCATCTCTATCTAAGGTGACGTGACACATACAGCTGCCATGGAACTTTAGGTGACTTCAACAATGAATAACAGCAGAGGCACGGCAATTCCCAAAACTCCATCGCCTGGAAAACGATATTAAAAACAGCCTTTATTCTCAATAAAAGATCTGGTGAACTGCACAATCAATCTTTCGCGGTCTGAGAACTTAAACCGAATTTAAAAGTTATGCTACGCAATATATTACATGGTTCCATAGTGTAGTGGTTATCACATCTGCTTTACACGCAGAAGGTCCTGGGTTCAATCCCCAGTGGAACCAATCTCACACTGTGTGAGATTCAATTCATTATACAGCCCAGGCCATCATTGACACCTGAGGAGTCACTCAGATACTTCCAATTACCCTGGTCTTTAATTTAAACCATGTGTTGCTAATTTTAATAGCTCTTCAATTCAACTCAGGCTCATTAATTACTGCCACTGTGGTACTATAGCCAGGAAGGCTGCTTTTACTGCTGCCTAATTAAAGATGTTAAGATGCTGGGTAAAAACCATCAGTGCCTATTGACTCCTTAAATAAAGTTCATGTTTCCCAACATCTTGATGAAAAATTAAAGACACAGAGAACGATAGAAATGAGCACTCTTCAGCAGCTGAATGATATAATTATTTAATGATTCTCACAGACTAACATTTAACATTTAACAGACAGGTTCATGTTAATCAACACTAATGCATTTGATTTCCCTGTACCACAATGTGACTCTTCAATGGCAAAATAAATGGCATCAACAGAGTTGAGCGTTTATCACAAACACGTTTTCTTTAGCCACGGTGAGACAATGCCTAAAAACAGAAGCATTGCAGATAATCTGGACCACAGCATAACTTCCACCATAAGTCCTGTCATAATTAGTCAGAGCTTTCTGGTCATAGAGGGAAAACATGTCAGAACCAGGTCCCAGCAGCAGTAAAGAAACTTGTACTGTCTTCATTTTACCTCCTGTCATCACAGGATGAGGTGATTGTATATTTGTCAAAATGGAAAATAAACCAAACTAAAAAAAACAAACAAAACAAAGTTAGCCATTTTTAAATCAGG